GGGACTACTTCAAAAATTGTACACGGGATATTTTTACTTATCTATACATCCAGGCCCCCTAATTCTAGAATGTATTGATTAACTATAGAAAATAATTTATGGGTATGCTATTGTACATTGTTGTGTTTGAGTCGAGGGGCTTTGGGAAACGGCCACACTACTTCCGAGTAGGAGTAAGGTCTACGCTCACACATCCTCCAGAGACCCTACTTTTTTTGAGATTTTACTAGATTTGTTGTTTCACACACACACAATGAGAGAAAATGCATAAGTTTTAACCATATACATTGAATGTAGCAGCAATATACTAGATGAAACTCATAACAAATTAACTACTGCTCCCTCCCTCCATCTCCAAAAAATTCAATCTCTCCTTGATTAATAAAAGAGCAAATGAAATATATGCACTTGCCTCTCAGAACAGTAAACATTTCTCAGACTCAGACATCAGCCGTATCACATTCACATTGCACACCAACTAAAACAACATTTTTTTCCAGCTTCAATCTATCAAAAGAGAATTACCATTTTCAGCTCTAACTATCTTTCAAGCGTAATCAGCTACATGATGACATATTCTCATTGGCTACACATTCTCCATTCTCTAATAGCTCTATCCGATTTGAAAAAAACACAACTTTATACCCTATCCATCACAGTATAAAGTCTCATTTTAAGGAAAAAAGTAATAGTGTGTTGACCTTCCCATTTTGCCCCTAAAAAGGAAAAAAGTTAATGAGGGTGAGAGAGCAATGGAGGATGGGTAGAAAAAGGTGAGTGGAAAAATAAGGGGTATTATAGCATTTTTAGTGTGTAATGTACGCCAAAAATGAAAATGGGCCTCTACTTTAGGGGCGCCAAATAAGGGAAGTGCAGGCTCCACTCTTTGCCACCAATATATGATTAAAGGCCAATACTTTTGTCCCTTTTTCCGTTTTTGTTTGTCCCATTATTTTTGTCTCATATCATATTTAGTAAGAGTTGTGTACTCAGATTCATTCTTATACTTTCTTAATTTTTAGAATCAATATTAACCCCACAATTCAAATTTTCTTTGTGTGCACGACATTACTCCATGCCCAAAAATAGGAGGGAAGTACAATTTGCTTAAATTTTTAGTCTTTTGTTGTTTTCAATGGAATTTACAGTGGGAAATGGGAGTTGTGCAAACTGCTGCAAAACTCTAACTACAACAATTAGGATAGCTCATCAAACTTATTGAATTCATCCCTACCCAAAAATGGAAGGGTTAAACCATCTTGTTCTATCATTCTATATAGTGACCTAAAACTGTTCACTTTTTTCCACCAGGAATCCACAATCTCAGGCTTTTTTTCCCTAAGCAATTGAAAATATCTGAAAAACGCATGTAATAGGTAATGCATATAACTAAACTACATAAATTTCAATGCAATACATACCTCCAATATTATGAAAAATTGAATAAAATAAACAAATATGCGAGAGTATATAAATTTCCAATTTTTTTCAAAAAGCATAGCAAATACTAAACTGAAACGTGAAAATAAGATCTGCCAGATAGTTCTTCAGATTTAGAATTTCGGCCGTCTAGAAATTCAATAATGATATATGGAATGTAATGAAGACTGGAGATGGAGGGTACCTGGATATGGCAGAATGGATGAATTTTCGGATACAGAAGGCCGGAGACGAAGGAGGGCTTGTAGAATTTTTTTTTTTCCAGTCATTTTAGAAATAATTGGAGTTGCTCTTAGGGGCCGTTTGTTTGAGCCGGGTTCAAATGTCTGTTTTGTTTCAACTTTTAATGGTTCAGATTGTTTGTTTCAACCTCTTAATGGTTCAGATGTCTGAATGGTTAATTGATTTGCCTCTGAATGGTTAAGTATTATACAGAGTCTGAATGGTTAAAACCTCTTATCTGAATTGATTAGACATTTGCCTCTAAATAGTTAAGCAATATACTAGCTCTTAATGGTTCAGACCTCTTAGTCGTTCAGCACTTAATGGTTCAGACCTCTTACTGGTTCAGCACTACTTATTCCGAAGTTGTCAAACAGCCCCTTAGTGTCCAAATCTGTACAATCACTAGGCCCGATCGCGCAAATACGTACATAATAAAACTAATAACTACGTATTTGATATTTCTACATTAGTAAATATTTTTGTCTTTCTCATTCTTTTTAAATCCGCTTTTTCTCTCTATTATTTTCTAAATTATGTTTGGTTCAAAGAATTTGAAATAAAAAGAAAAGAAAATGGTTTTCTCTCCTTTTCCTCGCCAAAATGAAATTTCCTCTATTTGGTACATTTTGACTTCTTGTTTTCTTTTTCTTTCACTTTTCGAGTCTTTTCCTCTCTAACCAATCAAGAAAAATTATGTAACGCCCTACAAACCGGCCTAGTTTTAAATAAATAAATATTATTTATTTATTGAGACTCATTATTTTAAATTAATAAATATTGAGATTTCGATCTCTTTAAATGACTTTCCAAAGCTAATGTATTTTAATATAAAAGATGTTTTAATAACGGACCTCTCAACATCAATTAAATAAATTAATTAATGATTGGGATGGACCCAGAAGTTTGAAAACAAAGTTTTTAGAAAAAAATTATTTGAACATGTCATTAAATTCGTTTTGACTGTCTAATTCCAAAAACGCAAACGAATCTCAAATCGGACCCGTTCGGGGGGGGAACGTGTACCGTTCAGGCCAAATTTTAACATAACGGAGTAAAACAGAGTATGTAACCCCCATCATCCATACACCACCCTTCATTTTCCCCACTTTAATACTCTTTCATTTCTCATTCATTTTCCCATTAAAACCCTCCATTCATGTCCTCAATTTAAACCCTCTCTCTTCACTTCCCCTCACCAATTTTGTAACTCCCACACACTCACACATCCAACTCTCCCTCTTCTCCTCATTTGTTTCGGCCATCCAACATCAGCAGCCAGAGGGAGAGTTTCCGGCGAGTAGACGAAGAGGAAGAAGAGAAGGAGGTGTTCACGAGAAACCGTTCGTCGTCATCCGTTCATCTCGTTTTCCGCTCATCAACCCCTTCTAAGAGAGGTGAGTAGTTGTCCCCTCTAATGCTAGAACATTTAGTTATAATCTATGTCATTATATTCATAGCAATATCGTACGCAACCTACGTAGAATCTATGCATGTTCGTAGGTTAGCCATCAAAATGTTCACTACTTAAAACTTATAAATATTGGCCTATGAATCACTAGGAATATATTCATCAATGTTTGTATTATTGTTCTAAAAAGAATCAAGGTGTTAAGGTTGCAAAATGGATCAAAACGTAGCCAAAGACAGAAGACTGTCACCGGGACGGTCGACCGTCATCCATGACGGAAGACTACGGTGGACCGTCTGTGACCCAGACCCCAGACCATAGCCCACGGTCGACCGCCGATAGGGTACGGTCGACCGTTCCGCGGGCAGATTTCGGGCAGTTTGTAGAACGAGCCCCATTTGACCAGTTTGACTCGGAATCTGATTTTATGTTTGCATGAAATGATAATCTTCATCATGTATGTTATTTAATTGATATATTCTTGGCGTTGACCAAAGGTAAATATATCAAGCATTCATCATGTTCATTCTAGACGCATGTACTAGAATCATCATGTGCATACCGCTGTAGGGAGGTCAGGCTTTCGTGCGCCTACTACAGTGGGCCCGTCCAGGAACCTTTGGGATCCAACGGGTTTTCATCAGGTGGGCTTTGTGTACGTACATGGTAGTCAGGCTACGGCTACCACCCGGTTTTTGCTAGTTCACTTGCGACGTTTTGTCGAGCCCGGGTCATTACCGGAGTGCAGGGGTGATCCTGTCAAGTGAGACTAAGTCAGGGGTGTCCCTAATAGCTCAAGTTATGCATCAAGTCATATTGTCATCAAGTATGTTTCATGTCACGTCAACATTCAATGTGGTTGTCATCATCATGTATGATTCCCATCATGTCCATATTCAATGTGGTTGTTATTCATTTTGTTATGTGTAAGAATATTCCATCAAGTGCAAATTAATCAGTTAGCAAACATGTGGTTTCCCGTACGTTAAGTACAGGTATTTATATGTGTATAACCATATGGGTTATCACTTCATGTTCTTTTGTTAGATTCACTCCCCAGCTTTTGCTGAGCGTGTAGTTGTTTTTGCTACACGCAGGTAGACATGACGGTACGGGTGCTAACCTTGGAGGACAGTGGTGATGGGAGGATGGGAGGCGCACGGACGAGTTTATAAATTCACCATTTAATCAATTAATCATTTGGGCATGAACCCACCATATGTTGTTTTACTTATTTTGGACTTATCAATTTACTTCCGCTTTTACTCTGCATTTAAATCACACATGTTTTGGAATTAATTCCCTAGCATTTATTTCATCAATTAAAACACACCCATTTTCATATTAAATAATCATTAATGTTTTTGAACCGGGTTACATGGACTGTCCATGTAACCCTACCAGTCCGTCGGGTCGCGGGTGAACCGGGTCCACGGAAGGCGGGTGTTACAAATTATTTTCCACTTCATTTTCTTTTCTTTTTCCTTTCAAATTCCTTGAACTAAATAGTGTTAATTAAACAAGTAAAAATGTTTTTTTCCTCTCATTTTATTTTCTTTTTATTCTCAAATTCATCGAACCAAACACGGTATAAATATTACAGAGAAATTTTTTTACCAAGTATACCATAAAATGAATAGTTTCTGGCCAAAAAAAAAATTCAATTATTAGAAATATACCAAGTATTTTTCTTTAGAAATAAAAAATATGGAGTAATAATTAAAATTGATAAGTTAAAATAATAAATTATTTAATTTTAATAGATACTCGGTACAAAATATCTAATGTTTTATTGGGATGGTTGGGTAGACATTTGGATATTAGTTTGTACTTCATTCATGTGTCCTTTTGTGCTTATACCATTTGAAAAGCAAAGAATAATCAGGTCCATCCTAAAGAATGCAGCCACTAATAACATTCAAAAATGTGTCAATTATATTTATTTGGTTCCAATATTAGAACAGATATATCAATATCAAAGGTGAGAAGCATATATTTGAGGGGTTTAGTGCTTTTTTAACACTTGTCTTTTGTGTTGTTTAAACTTGTGTTGAGTTTTCTTTGGTCGCATTGATGTAACTTGTGGATATTTTGGTGGAATAAAAACTTGATTTAAAAAATTAGTGAGAAATTCATAACGGCAAGACTAAAACAAAATGTATTCTGGTGAAATGCTAACACACAATGCATAATTATGATGTCTCACATTGACAACTATTGAATAATTAAAAAATTATCTTACTCAGAAAATAATGCAATACATGACAGGGCATATATAGAATGGATGACAACCCCAATTAAGATTAGGAAATAATAATATAAGATAGCTAAAATACATATTCTATCATAATTAATATTGACTTTTATTAATTGTCTAACATCTTCTCTCAAATTGAATGGCGTGTCACAAACAGAAGCTTGGAAATTAGAGCTTGGAAGCGTGGTTTAGGCAACGATTTAGTCAGCCATGCAGCAAGTTGATCCTCAGAAAAGAGATGAGACACACTCATGCATGGTACCATCAATAATTTATTCACGACCAAAGTGACATGTATAAAAAAGAAATATGCACTTTTCTATAAATTTTTTAATTTATGTTATTAATTAATTGGTTGGAGAGTCCTATTTTAATTTAGTTCTTTCTTTTTACAAGACTCAATATTTATCATTATTTTATGTATTAAAGAATTTCTTTGACATCGATGTTAACATGAAAAAAACTATCTAACTTTACCTTTTAATTTTAATATTTTCTAAATTAATGTACACCATTAATATTTTATTTAAAGCTATAATCAAAAGTACTATTCAAACAATGTCCATATGAGTTTAAATGTAGAACTCTTAAATGTCCATATAAGTGTAAATGTAAAACTCAGAAGAATTTGTAGGGAGTAATAAATTTTGAATGGTCACGTGCTTGATCACAATTGTGCGAACTGCACACGCCACCCCGCTGCTGGTAGAGCATTCCACCATGGGGAAATAAATGTTTCGATTTTTGAACCCCAAGTAACCAAACAAGGAAAAAGGACGAGCGAAAAGGTGATCTCTTTCATGCAAATTTCGAATCCACAAATCATAAAACAAAAACAAAAAACCACCAGCATTGCCTTGAATAATTGGATCATCATCTGAGATGCTAATGGTTATGCATGCCTGAAGGTGCAATTCGGCCTGGAACTGCTCGATTTTAGGATCCATGGAGGCGATCGAGGAGCTACAGCAGCTCGCCGATTTGATGCGCCTAGGCGGGGCTCTGCTCGCCAACGAAGACGTCGAAGCCGGCGTGTCTTCATCGTCCAAGCGGCCGTCCACCTTCCTCAACGCAGTTGCTCTCGGCTGCACGGTAATGTGACTAGCTACGCTTTCCGATTTTGATGATGGATCCACGACGCGTAGCACATCAAATGCGCGTTGATTCCGCGTTTATTTTGTGGTGCGATGTAGCGAGCCGATCAACCGGCGTTCAATTTTGTGGCGATGAATGTGCACTGCGATTTTGCTTATGCGAATTATGAATGCCTGCTGAAATGATTTGATGTGGATATTTGAAAACAATTTCTGAAATCGCCATGGTTTTAGAGATGCAAATTGGACTGAGAGTGGTGTTCTGTACGGGATTAATTTTTAGTCTCACATGAATTTTGTCAGTGTTAGAGGATTTGTAGTTTCACTGGCATTACCTGGCATGTGGTTCTGACTGTTCGCATTTTTTTTCAGGGTGCCGGTAAATCAGCTGTGCTGAACAGTGTAATTGGACATCCAGTTCTGGTGAGATTTTCTCGGCCTCCATTTCGATTTTAATCCTCTTCGAGATACATCTTCCATGTCTTAATGTGTTTGTATGTTTATCTTAACTTGAACAGCCAACTGGAGAAGGTGGAGCTACGCGTGCTTCGGTATGTGTTGAGTTGAAAAGGGACAGTTCCTTAAGCAGTAAAGTACTTGTTTTGCAGATTGAAAGCAAATCACAAGAAGTCTCTGCAAGTTAGCCCCCTCCATTTTCTTTCACTGAGAATCATCTTTCCATGATTAAGCGTGGATTATGTATTCATAAATTTTCAGAAATAGAAATAAAGGTCGGTCATATTCTGATTATGCCTGCACCATCCTTGGCCCAACATAGGTTCTCTTCGCCGCTCTTTGCAAGAGAGATTTGGCAAAGGATCGAGCAAGAATCGTGATGAGATATATTTGAAGCTTAAAAACAGTACCGGTATGTCTAGACTCGAACTCCTAAAACTGTTAATCCATTACAAATTGATATGACTGGCTACCAGTGATCTCTCATTTTTTTCTGCTTGGTCTCATCAATAAATGTTATGGTTAAAAACAAAGGTTTCCTTAAGGGAGTCTGTTCCCCCAATGTAAGGTTAAAACTCAGACTAATTAGAATGATATTTATGTGGAGGACAGCATTAATTATCAGCCTGATAAAATTTTAGCAGCTTACACTGGGCATTCCATTTGACTTATGAGTATCTGTACTCATGTTTTATATTTACCTGAATATGTGGTCTCTAACATCAGGAATTTAGATTTAGTCCAACTATTCTGTACTTATTTCCATTTTTTCTCATTGTCCTTTTACTCCATTAATTTCCTAATATTTGTGGTCTACAGCTCCACCATTAAAGTTAATTGATTTACCGGGAGTAGACAAAGGGCGTCTTGATAGTTCAGCAGTGAGTTACTTCCTCTCAGAAATCGATTTAGAGTTTTGAAGCCTTCATAACATGAGTTTTGACGCTTGATTTTCCCTTGCAGAGTCAGTATGTTGAGCATAGTGATGCGATATTACTTGTCATATTACCTGCATCTCAGGCACCAGAAGTTTCCTCGTATAAAGCACTTAGAATTGCAAAGGAGAATGATGGAGAATGTAAGTTTTTCCATCTTGCATTTCAAGTTTCTGAATTAAAGTAAAAGAGACGTACAATGAATAAAGCATGAATACCTTCTATGATTCAGCTACTAGAACCATTGGTGTAATCAGCAAGATAGATCAGGCAGCTTCAGATCCAAAGATTCTTGCAGCTGTCCAGGCTCTTCTGCTTAACCAAGGACCACCCAGCACGTGTGATATTCCATGGGTTGCTTTGATTGGTCAATCTGTTTCAATAGCCTCAGCCCAATCAGGCAATGTTGGGGATGATTCTTTAGAAACAGCTTGGAGGGCTGAGAGTGAGAGTCTTAAATCTATTTTGCCAGGGGCTCCTCAGAGTAAGCTTGGTAGATTAGCCTTAGTGGAAAGTCTTGCTCAACAGATCCGCAATCGCATGAAACTTCGGCTACCAAACCTCCTCTCAGGGTAAACTACATCTTCTTTTAAAATCCTCCTTAATAGGCCCATTTAGTCCAAGAAATAAAATTGAAGCTTAGTTAAATTTCAAACTTTTGCTTCTTTTTTCTTTTATAACGAACACCATTGATTTCCCTTGCAACATTAGAGTCTTGTCCTGTTTGATTTCTCATACATTACTTTGTGTGAGTTATTTATATTGTGTGACAAATTTGGCTTCCCCTCTAGTTGTCTCGCTGATTGCAAAATTCTCTCTATACAATGAAGTAGCCATTTATGGAAATGGTACAAATATTCTAATTTCCATTGTATCTAATATGGTAATCTCATATATTTCAGAATTATGTGTTAGATATAACAAATATTCGTAAACTTTTACATGATCACTAGTTGATGTTACGATACTACACCAGATTTAATATTTCCTTTCACGAAATACTTGATTTATCAGCTCCTTCTCCAACCCTTCCATCGAAACTCCATATTTCAATTCTAAAAGAAAGGGGATAGTTTTGTTTATTTATCTTCTCTCATAGGCTTCAGGATATGTCTCAATCAGTAAATGATGAATTGGTAAAGCTTGGCGGACTGGTTCAAAGTGCTGAAGGTACAAGAGCTTTAGCTCTGGAGCTTTGTCGTGAATTTGAAGATAAATTTCTCCAACATCTTACAAGTGGTGAGGTGAGAACTGATGTCTTCTGTGGCTGTGAAACTCTTTCTTTGCCGTCTCAATTTCTGTTGGACTTGCTCTTTTTATCTTTCCTTTGTTATACCTTCTCTATGTCAGAGTCAGCAATGATTTGATCTTGCAACGCATACAAGAAAGTTTTAACGGAACACATTTTTTAATAAAATCTAAATGTGTAGTAGTAAGGGGAAAATTTTGTTTAATTGATTATGTATGTATCGATGGTTGTAATTTGTGTAGGGTAGTGGATGGAAAGTTGTTGCAAGTTTCGAAGGAAACTTCCCAAACAGGATCAAGCATCTTCCCTTGGATAGACATTTTGACCTTAAAAATGTGAAGCGTGTAAGTTCCTAGTCGCTCATAGTCTCCATATACTTTTTTTGAAGCAATAACATTGTTGCTGTTCTTTATTATCTTATTTTATGACCCATTCTAGTTGCTCTCAGATTGTATTAGAGGCTGATGGATATCAACCTTACCTTATATCGCCAGAGAAAGGGTTAAGGTCTTTACTAAAGACTGTACTTGAGATGGCAAAAGAACCTTCAGAACTCTGTGTCGATGAGGTACTACTGCAAAAATTTTGAGTTGTCTTTTATTTTGCATTTCATTAAATAAAATAAAAAATGCCAATAGGAAACATTGTGTTTCATGATTTCATGCTCCTCGAATGCTATATCTGCCATGGTTGAGGAAGGTAATAATAAAATTTATCATGTCCATCTTAAGAAATGACTATATGGAGAGATTATTCAGTATGCAGTTTATGCGCAAAAGTGTACTACTAAATGCAACACAAACACACAATTAGTTAATCCAGTGAGAAAAATGCACCAAACGCTCAAAATGATAAAAAAATGTTATATTCCCTTCCTGATATGTTATGTTACACCAAACGAGCCCTATATCTCTTACATTTCTTCCTTCACTGTAGTTACATTTTCTACCGTTCTATTTATCAAGTATCAACTACGCCATCAAACTTTATCTCTCTTCCATAGTTTCACTTCACCATCTTCCCTGGACTTCTTGTAATGTTTCCCGATTGGTAACAAATTAACAATTCATTGATTTCATTCACTACCTTCATGTTTAGTTCATTTTTAGTTCACTTTAAAAATATGCAATGGCCCATCATTAGGATACTGAGAGGTGTTTGCAAGAAAAAGACATGTTTTTTTGGCACTTCTGAGTTTTTTAGTTTGTATATATGCATGGTTAAGGTTGAGTTCGATTTTTGTGTCAACTTTTGTTATCGTATTAGGCATTTTCAGGTATTATGACATGCAGGCTAAAAAAGAAGCATTTCATAATCTTCTGGAGTACTTATCTTGCTTGTCTCATTCCAAATTTCTGACAATAAAATATGGCCTTCTTAGACCTGTTGAATTTGCATCCCATGTAGTGCATATATTAACTTTACAGTTTTTTTTATCTGACACCACTAGAGAATTAGTCATTTGTTTCCACATACTTATTTTTACTGTCACCAATGCTCTTATTTCTTTTCCTTTTTTTGAAAATTCTCTTCAAGGTGCACCGGGTACTTTCTGACCTTGTCTTAGCAGCTGCAAATGGTACACCAGGTCTAGGAAGATATCCTCCTTTCAAGAGAGAGGTGAGGTTCACGTAGTCATGCCTGCATGCCCTGTCTTTTTATGAAAGCTTCTATTGAGCTTGTAAACCATATATATATATATATATAGGTTGTTGCTATTGCAACTGCTGCCTTAGAAAATTTTAAGAATGAAGCAAAGCATATGGTTGTTGCACTTGTTGACATGGAGCGTGCATTTGTTCCCCCACAACACTTCATTCGATTAGTGCAGAGGCGGTATGCTCTAATGTCTTATTTTTTCTACTATTAGACTTAAAAAACATTATGTTCATTGCATGCATTAGTTGCTTTGCATCCTGATAAAATGTAGGAGCTGAACAAACGAATAAGAGAAGTAAGAGAATATGAAGTGTTTCAGCAGTCTTTAACACTTAATACAGCCCGATCGCTTTTATCTTGTGATGGCTTCATGTTGATTCTATTTGATGGTTGGATTCTTTGATGCGGTTTATAAATAAATGCATGTTTTCCCACTTCTGAGCACAGTTGTCATTGCTAATGTGTGTCAATATTTTCATTAGTTTATGCTGCATTTCCTTCCAGGAGTTCATAGTCAATTGGAACAATCTACATTATCAGATTATTATATGTTGTGGCATTGTCGCCATGATAATCATGCCCAATTTGCTATTTGATAAATCAGTATCCTTTTGCTGTTCTCCAGGATGGATAGGTACAGACGAGACGAAGATCACAGAAGTCGATCTTCTAAAAAGGCATCTGAGGCAGAGTCCTCCATATTGAATAGGGTAGAACGATACCTTTTAACGTAGTTCAAAATGATTGGTCGCTAATTCTACATGTATTGCTCTGAAGAGCTAAAGTTTATTACTTTATTATCCTCTAATCTTTTTCCCTGATTTCGTTTTGCTCTATTAGGCAACCAGTCCTCAACCTGGTGGAAGCTTGAAATTAATGAAGGATAAGCCTAGTCAGCAAGATAAGGACGTACCAGAAGGTCCGGTCTTGAAAACTGCAGGGCCAGAAAGTGAAATTATAGCAGGTTTATCAATAGTCCCACTTTTAGTTTTTTATTCTAATTCAAAACAGACTCTATCTAATACAACTCTGGGTGCTTATAGTTTTAAGATGTCTCACTCAATTTTTTTGTTGAGATAAGATAAAGTCTTAAGGTGTTCTTTTGAATCATGCTGGAAATGTTTTGTTGTTTCTTAGGCATTCATTTCCACCTTGGTAACTTTTATTTGTCCATTCCGATGCACATTCATATAATGTGTTCATTCTAAACAGTTTTTTTTAATTTTTATTTTTAGTTATTGAGAATCATAACTAATCTTTTGACCCCTCCCCTACCCACCTCACCAAGAATCCTAAATATAATCTTGTAACAACGAAAAAAGGTCAATATTTTGATTATGATTCCTTGGTGCAGGATTTCTATTAAAGAAAAGTGCCAAAGCTAATAGCTGGACTAAGAGATGGTTTGTATTAAATGAAAAAAGTGGAAAGGTCAGTTGCACAGATTTTAACCACGCTCATAGCATATAATTTCTAGGAATCCTCCTCGTTGCACCAGTGACACCATATACCATTCAATTTTATATTTTTCTATCTAAGTTTTTCCTTTATCAAATTCTATTTAAGATAGTTGCTTTCTTATATTTACGTTATTTTCTAGATGGAAATGATCATTTCACTTATCGTTTTATTCATTCACTAATCAGTGTGCATTACTCTTTCACATCATACTTCCAAACTCTAAAGGAGCCTGTCACTCAGTGTCCAATTAAATTTTGTTTCTTCATACATTAAATGCCAATATTTAATATCCCACTAACTGCTCTGATATTCCCTACCTTCGCCTCTATACTAAACTACCAAGTTCAATAAAATTTCCTTCAATTTTCCATTTTGAATTTCCCAACACAACATCCCTACTTTCTTAGACAACTCATTGGATATTCTTTCTTTAATGGATCCTGAAGCCAGTCTTCCATTTGCAGTTAGGATACACCAAAAGACAGGAGGACAGGCATTTCCGTGGTGTCATCAATTTGGAGGTTAGGAAATCATATACATTGCTTGATATAAAATGCTATCAAGACTTGATGTTTCTTCACTGTCCTTTTTAGAATAGGAAATCTGTAAGTTTGTATGTTCAATAATCGTCTTAACCGCTTTAAATATTAACGTCAAGAGAGCTTCAAACTCATTCAATTTATCAACTAGATTCCACTATAATCTCAAACTTGTATTTTGTTTTTATAATTATTATTCTTGAATCTCAAAATAGTTGCAGCTGAAACTTAAAGATGTATGGTTTCTTCGTTCAGCAAGTTATATGGTTTCTTCGTTCAGCAAGTTATATGGTTTCCTTTTTTTTCTTTTAGGTGGGGGTGTGCAAATTTATGTCACGGTTGCATACTTTGTTTGATGGGAGTCAAGTTTGAGTTACTTGTTCATCTAGAGTTACAGATTGCTTAAACATGAAATATTGATGCAAAATATATTTTTATTTCTTCCATGATGTGCAAATAAAAAAGCCAGTGTATTGTAGATTCCATGGAATGGGGGTTGCCTGATAGTCATGCATTTATTATGTCTCTTGGATACTATGGAGTGCACCTATTGAATTTGTCTCAGAGATGGTTGATACTACTGCTTTGCAAATTTATACTATAATAACGTGGTATGCAATGCAACTCAAAATGCTAAATGTGGATAAACATGATTCATTTGTTCTGTTGTCAATTTCAGGAATGTAACCTTGAAGACATGTCTGAGGAAGAAGAATCATCATCCTCCAAGAGTTCCAAGGACAAAAAGGAATATTCCAATGCATTCAAAATTACGAGCCGGGTTCAATACAAGACTGTTCTTAAAGGTAGCAATCTTTTGTAGGATTACTTTCATACTCTCTATTTTCTCACCTTTAAATGCAAATACTTGATCAGATTCCCTAACAATTCTCATGGAAAACAAAAGTTTCAAATCATGCATTCAATGAATCCCTACCAATCTCTCATTACTTGAAACAGTTGGTTTGATATATGTCCAAAAAGAATTTATAATACTCAATTCCATACCACGCTTACTAATTTCTTTGTTTCTATTGCAGCACATAGTTTTGTGATTTTGAAGGCAGATACTACGGCAGAGAAGGCAGAATGGGTAAACAAGTTGAAAAATGTCATAAGTTCTAAGGGAGGCCAGGTGAAGGCAGAAACTGGTTTTTCCATGCGGCAAAGTTTTTCGGATGGTTCAATTGTAAGTTGTGAAAGCAAAACTTCTTGTTTGATCTTTCACAAGTGATCTGAATTTGTGTCTTACACGTTTCTTCTTGCTATTGAGTATTGACTGCAACAATTGAACAGCCCTTGGAGCAATTCTTTTCTTCTATGGAGTATTATATAAAACCTTCATTGCTAGTTGATCTTTGGTGCTTCTAAATTTAAAGTAAAACTATTGAACAGTAACACTAGCACTCTAGCCTACCAAATACTTACCATGTTCGATTAAAACTATTGAACAGTAACACTAGCACTCTAACCTACCAAATACTTACCATGTTCGATTATCATAGGATACAATGGCTAGGAAACCTCTGGACCCAGAAGAAGAACTCCGTTGGATGGCTCAGGAAGTACGTGGATACGTTGAAGCCGTTCTCAACAGTCTTGCAGCCAATGTCCCTAAAGTCAGTTTAACTTTATAATAGCCATAATTTTTTTTAATACTTTCTTCTATAGTTCTTGTCTAAATACTGTACTTTGTTCTTTTATATGGTTTTCAGGCAGTTGTTCTCTGTCAAGTCGAAAAGGCCAGAGAAGACATGCTTAACAAGTTGTATATTTCTATCAGGTTAGCATTATCATTTCCTTATAGCGCACCGTTTTTGCCATCACTTTTAGGTAATTGAAAATTTTGGCCGAAACGTGATGTGGCTAAATGATTGAATGAGCTAAAAGTGTTGATAATACAAAATTTGGTAGTAACGCCCCGTGTTTGATAGTAAGGGTAAAACAGTGATTTTTTCTTTCATACCAATCATTTTATCCAAACATATAGCTCATGATAGTAAGAAGAAACGATCTTCTACTCTACCAAGAGGGACTTATGTCATTTTGAAAGCATTTTACATGAAAACTTACTGTTGGATTGTCTCCATTTTCCGTACAAGCGTGTTTACTTTGTGCTATCGTCTTCACTATCCTGATTTTGTTTTACCAAATTGGAATGGATAGTGGACAGAGTTTGTCAAGGATTGAAGAACTACTGATGGAAGACCAAAATGTAAAGCGTAGGCGGGAGGGGTGTCAGAAAAAATCCTCTCTTCTTTCTGAGATTACTCGAAAACTAAATACGCTCGACAACCGGGCAACAAGTGCTTCAACCTTCTCTGAGTATGATGGACCTGGTATTTATATCTCTCCACTTGAACATTTCTATCTTATTCTTGTGTTTGTGTTACTGCCATTTGTTCTTTACATGTAATTTCCCTTGTATGAATAATAATAATATACACAGAAAGAGCAAACGATTCATCAACAGATGAGTGGACATCTGCATTTGATGCTAATTCTGGTGATTCAACATCCAGGGGACGCCGGGCACCTTCTCGGCTGCCCCCTGCCCCGCCCGATTCTTCATCATCTGCCTTCAAATATTAGAAGTAGACTAATATCACAGAGCATATATAACAACAGGTGCGACTATAGGTTTTTGATCATCCCTGCAATTGATTGTCCTTCAATTTTCTACATTGCACATTTGTGTTTTTAAATCTTGGTTTTCTGACCAATATATTGATTTGAACTTGTCCCAGAAAGTAAAAGATCTGAATTTGTTTAGTCGTACGTTTTAACATTTGATAAGCAAGGGAACTCCTTAATGTTGCACTCACATCTTATTGTACAATTACCACAGTCCATTTGTAAATTCCATCATGGGCTATTTCTCCTTACGTTTATGAATTGTCTTTTCTGAAAAGAAAAACAATTGTAGTGATTAATTACTTGAACACCATATCGTCTTGGGACCCTCATTCATGTAATAATTTTGTCACAAGTTTAAATTGTCACACAGAAATCTCCTTCCTACCCATAAGTTTCTTTCTAGTTTTGACTTTTGAGGTTGAAACTATAAAAAACAATTTCACCAAGATTTGTGTAAAAGGTATATTAGTTGTACTAATGTGAAATCAATATCATTAAGTTTATTTATATGTCTTGAAAATTGAAATAGAGTTAATACTCATTTTGGTCCTTCTAAGTGCACTCACAATTCAATTTGGTCCATATAAGTTCATTTGAGTCAAATTAGTCCATATATATAGAACATGTGAATCAAGTTAGTCCTTCGAACAGAACTTATCTCCTAAAATTCTGAGCTATCACGTTAATTGATGCAAGAATTATTGTCATGTGTATTAGTTTTTGTGTCAATCAACGTGTTAATTTAGAATTTTAAAAGATTCATTTTACATAAAGAACTAATTTGATTCATATTTTCTAGTTACAGGGACTAATTTAACTAAATCAAACTTACAGCCTTACAGGGACTAAATTGACTCATAAGTGCACTTACAAAGACTAAAACGAGTATTAACTCCTTGAAATATCATAGCTTTATACGGTATTTGAGATTGCTCGAATTATTATTTTAGTCACACAATCTAAAATATCCATCAGGAGTTTTTCAATTTATGTTTCTGTCTTTAAAAAGAGTTGAGAATCATTTGGTCATTGCAGACATTTCAAAATGATTCTATCCATAATAAAATTGAAAATCATTTTTAAAAACAGCGACAAACATTCTTTCAATATAATACAAAGTATTTCTTTGTGTAGAAATCTAAAGTATGGATGAAGTAAACTTAGGATTCATGCTAGAATCTCACCACAGTTGCATATACGAATGACAATTGCATGTAATTTTATAAATATACAGATGATAATCATTTATGTTCACAGATAATTATTGTCTGTGTATGTATGAATTATACGTAGTATGTAATTGTTAGTCGTAGGAACATTCTAGTGGATTCCTTACATTTGGGAAAATTATGTGCATGGAGGGAGCACACATTCATGAAAATGCTTGTATAATATTGATTAGGGAAGAATTTGTCGAGAGAAAAAATCCTTATGATTTTAAGAGCGCGGGTGTGCTCCACTCCACCATTACTCAAAAATGTAGATGAGCTATTTTGCAATTTTTTAGACAAAAAAAACATTAAAAATAAACAAAAATAGAAGGTTCATCTTTCCAATTTATCTTAGTGAAAAAGACTAAAGAAGTAAAACATTGAAAATATACAAAAATAGGAGTTTCATGTTTTTATTTTCGAAATAAGAGTTAAAATACATATACATTGCCAGTTATGACCATATACATTATCAAAAGGTTTTGTGAAATATTCATATATAGTGTCACATTAGCACAATACAAATTCTTATTTTGTAGTTAAAAATATAGAGCTTTTATTTTGGCACTTTCTCTATGTTTAACACCTATTTAAGGTGATTTCTTATTATCCTACCCATTGATATCCTCGGATTCTATGCTCAATGTGAATGGTGAGCTCGGAGAAATTATATCGTACATCTGATAAAAATTATTTTGAATCATGCTTAGGTCATGCCAATTTTGAAATCAAGAGTTTTACACTTAATATTTTATAGATATACACAGGCAATCATTATTGTCTCTATATATGTTTTTGAAATGCTTACATTATGTTCAGTTCAAGAAATTTGAGAGGGAAAAGAAAAGAAAATGATAAAGAAAACATTTTACTTGTCTGGTTAGAGAAGAAAACAAAAGTGAAAAAATATATAAAATACAAAATGTAATAATAAGAGGACAAATCAAATTCCTTCATTTCGGTGAAAAAAATATGGGTTCCTTCTTCCTTCAACCAAATCCAAGCATAATGTTACTGTCAAACTTTATCGTGTCAAATGGTTCAAACCTCACCTGTGTCTAACATTTTGGTTACATCTGCGTGCATCCAATGAGAGCATTATATAACATGAATATGCATCACTAATTTTTACAATATGAATGTTCTCGATATGTGTTTAAAAAATTCAATGTGCACTTTTTTTTACATTTTTTTAATGTTTCATTTTTATTCTTTCAAAGATTGAAAATGTTACGTAGTATTATCAACAAAATGGAAGTCCTGTTAAAAAAAAGCATTGCACATCAATTTTATAAGTGCATGCTCTAAAAGCATCTCCAATGTATAGTATAAAAGTTGGTAGTGTAAATTTTATTTTAGAGTATCAACAGTATTTTACACTTCTACTTTATAATACTTACTCCAACCATATTTTATACTCTATAATATACTCCCTAATACATTTTTATTCTTTTCCCTATCTACAATCAACTTGTAAAAATACACTTTACCAATTGCATTTTACCCTATATTGTATTTTAGCATTTGTTTTACCCTCTCCCTTGGAGTGTCAAAAAATCAACCATAAAGTGTATATTTTGTAAATTTTAGCATATAGCCTATACGCTGGAGTTGCTCTAAGGGCCTATTTTTTCTTGAGAAAGTTAACTTCTAACTTTTTCCAACTTACAAATTCTTCAGACTCATTCCAGTTTTTTCTACTCCGTAACATGTTTCAGTTTTTTCCAACGACTTAAAAAATTTATTTACATATGTTGAATTTACAATATCATCATATATAGACATACAATAGGGAATGAGATCCATCCAGGACCTTATGCTAAATATAAACGTCTCACACTACCTTCGCCATGAGTCGAATTCGTCCACAACGCCCTTTTGCACCTCCTATTAACCACTTAGCTATGCCCCCCGGGTCTAGTCTCTACAATTTGCAGATCAAGTTGACATTTTGCGGAGAACATTAGAGGCAAACATATTTTGCTGTGTCCTATATAGAACTGCGCACAGACTAGGGAAAATAAAAACTTGTTTTTGAATCTGAATGGTGAACTAGCAATAAGTGTCTGCCTGACCTTTTAGTGTGATCCATTAGTTGAACCCCACATTGTCCTTGAATGGACCTGAATCTTGTAATAGCTTCATCACAAGTTTAACCTGTCAGACAGAATAAGATGAATGAATTTCTTGAGATTCTGTGCATGTTATTTGCCAAGTATAAGTTCACAAAAATGATAAAACGAGTAGATATTGGAATGAAAAAAAAAATCCTTTGCTTCCTCCGCAGTCCGCCCCTAAATAAGTTTCATGATTTGACTCCACGAAGTTCAAAAGCAAAAAGCATATGATTACAATTTGTTTATACGTGGTAAGAAACAAAAATGACATGACTCGGTGCGCATTCCTTTTCTTAGAAGGAAAGTGTGAAGTTTGTTTTGGGATTGCCACAAAAAACATTAGGAAGATTTGTTTTGGATTGAAAAGAAAAAGGGTGAAGTTTATTTTAAGAGCATCTCCAACCACACTTACTAAAGTCATTTTTTAGCATGTGAAAAGTGGTATAGCAAGCCATTTTGCATTGTCATCAACAACCTTCTCTTGCTATAATTTAGCAAACATTAGTTGTATATTATATTGTTTTCTATATTATAGTACACTATTTATAATAATTTTTAAAATTTATTATTTTATGTTATAAAAATTAAATAATACTCTATACGTATGCAATTTAAAAATAATAGTTTAAAATAAAATAATACTCGTACTTTTTTGTAATATGTAATATAATGTTTTTGGCTTGCTAACCCAATCAGCATTTTTCTTCTTCTTTTTGGTTTGCTATATCTTACCAAGATTGTTATTAATAGCAAGTCATTTTCATTTTCTAGCAAGCTTGTCAAAAATTGGCAAGCCCTTGGAGCATGAAACTTTGCTTGGCTTGTCAAATTATAGCATATAGCAAGCCATTTTGGCATGCTTGGAGATGCTCTAAGATGAAAAAAAATGAGAATGTGAAGCTTATTTTGGGACGGGCAAAAAATGAAAATGTGAAGTTCTTTTGGGGAGGAATGGATGGAGTATTGAACTGAATTTTCTGAATAATACCTTAAAAGATGAGTAAAATTGTCATTTGTCTTCTTTTTTGCTATTTAAATTTTAAAAGTGACTATGGTGCTAACATATTTTTTAATCACTTGTTAGTTGTTACCCTAATGCGGGTCAAAAAGAAAAAGATGTGGTCGAGACTCTAATTCAAAACATGAGCAACAACCACAACAAACCTAGTAAAACCCAAAAAAAAGTAGAGCAGGAGGAGGGTGTGTACGCAAAGCCTACCTCTACTCAAAAGTAGAGAGCTTGTTTTCAAAAGACCCCAAACTCAGAACATAGAAGTACAAACATAGTAAGCACACATAGTGCCACAAACAAAGTAAGAGCACAATGACATGTTAGCATACATGCACAAGGTACGAGCTAAAGTAAAAAAACTCCAACAAAAACTACATACTAAGGTCCAATGATTTACCCAAGCATTCTATTCCTAGACCTCCAAGCATTCTTATCTAAAGTTATATCCTCGATTCCTCAGTAAGATATCCTCGGTAAGATCCTGAAGTCGTAAATCTTGTCTAATCACCTCCTTCCAACTCTTCTTAGGTGTACCCCTACCCTTTCCCATGCCCACTACCGCAAGTCTCTCACATCTCCTCACTTAGGCCATTGCAGATTTAAACTGCTTCTCCTCACATGTCTAAACTACCTCAGCCTCAAAACATAAACAAAAAAAAGATGCATCGTGTATAATATGGAAGAAATTGAACAAAACATCTCAAAATGATGATGTGCATGTTGATTGATTTACCAGTTCTGCAAAGCCAAGGTTGCTTGATGAACTACAATTTTGACAGACAAAGAATGCAAAATCACAACAAAAACGTTTTGGAAAAGTCACTGATTTGAACAAGTAAAAATCACCTGAGCAGATTCTTGTATCAAGAAATCTCCAATGGCGTCCCTGAAATCTTCATCCAGAAGATAATGACTACTGTAAGTAGTGACTGGCAGATATCCCCTTTGGATTTTATGTTCCCCCTGAGCTCCGGCCTCAACTCTTTGAAGATTGAGTTCTATCGCAGCTTCAATTGCCTAAACCAATAAATCAGTAATCGAAACGAAATCGGTTCTCAGACACTTTGAGGGTGTTTAGTGTGATTGTTTTTTTAGAAAAATGATAATTTTGACAACATAATCTAAATGAATCTCATATGTGCTAGACCCCATTTGTGGTTGGGTTTACACAACCTATTGAGGAAATTGTGTATAACAACAACAAACCTAGTAAAATCCCACAACAATAGAGTTTGGAAAGGGTGTGTGCACAGACATTACCCCTACTATGAAGTACAGATGTTGTTTCCAAAGGCCGGCTCAAACACAGAAGCCCAGACAAAGTAAACAAGTAGCACATATAAAGTAAGAACACAAAGGCAAGAAACACAAATATCGACACTAGCAATGACTAAGCTACACATGCAATAGGCCAATAGCTACAGACAAAGCTAAAAGCACACGAGCATAAACTACAAACTAAGACTCAAAGGCCTATCAACCTACTCTAGTCCTAGATCTCCAGATGTTCGTATCTAAGATTACCCTCAATGAGATCTCGAAGTCATAATTCATGTCTAATCAGCATTAAGGAAATTGTGTAAACACAATAAATTAACGGAGGAGTTCCCATGACATTGGAACACCATGTCATGGGATGACCCGGGCCTCTACGGTGCCCCATTCGTAAAATTGACAATTCCTACCCCCTAACCCCCCCGGTAAACCCCCCCAACCCGAACACCCCCCCCCACCCCCTTCAGCACCCCAAGTTAATTTTGACTTTGAAGTCAAAATTGACTCTAAAGTCAAAATTAACTTCGGGGGTGCAATTGACAAGGGTGGGGGTGTGTTCGGGCAAGGGGGGGTTTACCAGGTTAGGGGGTAGAACCGTCAATTTTACGAACGGAGCACCGTAGAGGCCTCGGGTCATACTGTACTAAGGTTAGGCAAAATCATATCAAAGTGTTGAGTCACATGAGAGAACTAAATAATAAAAAAACCAACACCAACAAACCTGGTAATAGCAAGCTTCAAAATGCAAGTTCGGAAAATATGCTTGTGGAAGGCACCCCCACAAGCGCCCGTATAATGTGTCCCCGCCAATAAGATTAAGAGCACCAGCAACAAGTTTGTCTCCTTCTTCAGCAACAACAAGCAGTACTCGGTCACCTATATTTGAACCCATCTTATGGAAGAAATCTCTTGTTAAATAAGCATTACCCCACCTAAGAAAACATGATGCATCAATGAGGATGGCCGGTAGAACACTGTTATAGTGTATGAAACAATTGAAAGATGTTCAAGAGAATCAACCCAACTTGTTGTTTGTTGTGCTCCTGTAGAACTGATAGAAAGTGTCCCAGTGCTTAGCCTGCCAAGATATAGCAAGAAACGCTCTAACCAGTGACGGAGCCAGATTTTTTTGTTTTTGTGTTTTTGTGTTTCTTTTGGGGGGGGGGAATCGGACTAGTAAACTTAAATAATAATTGGTTGAACACATTTTTTGTTGAGGCGTTGAGCTAATCTATTACTAGGTTTCTACCCCTGTCACATAAAAATCTTCCGTGTGTGACTTTTATGGAATTCAAGAAAAGTCTTGAAAAGTGAAACAAATGTTGTTGGAATTTGTTCCGTGAGAATTTTTTTAGAGCCACATATTCTTTTCTTGTTTTCCTAACAAAAAATGTGACCTTTTTTAGGATTGACAAAAAGGAAAGAGTGAAATTTTTTGTGAGAAAAAGCAAGTGNGGGGGGTCCTAGGTGCCGCTGGATCTAACTAAATGAGGAATATAATATGGGAGCAAAAATGTGCAAGTAAAATATGTCTGGCTAGTAGAGACGACTTTTTAAGATCAGTTTTCTGAATATATAAATAAGTACTTCTCTTAAATTATATATTTTACCTCTATAAAAGACACTACCTCCATCGTAAAATAAGAGTCTTGTTCTTAGGCATACTTTTTTTCCTCAAAAAAAAACCTCAATTGAATAAAACTGCAAACAAATATAGTTTTCATCATATTTAATGTTTTTTATGGTCTTACGCTCAAATTAAATTCACACTTTCATTTTTCCCATCCCCAAAAAAACACATTTCATTGTATTCTTTTTAGGAAAAGGAAAATGAAGCTCACAACATTTCCCTCTCATGAGTCTCATCTAAACAGCTTCCAACTACATTTCAACCGAAGAACTTGTTATGAGAATGGAGGGAATATCATATATATATATATATACACAGACACACACACACACACACATACATACACACACACACATACATACATACATATGTATACACACACACACACAATATATATATATCTGTGTGTGTGTGTGTGTATGTATATATATAAAGTGTCTTAAACAAGTTGAGTTTGATAAATTTACTTACAGAGAGTAAAAAGAGAAGTTTTTCAATTCAATAAAATCACTTTGAGTCTGGTTAAACCATTGTATGGCACTATGGCTGGAGCTTTTACCTTGATTTCATGTCCCCTTAAGCGCTTCATGGTCAGATTTTGTGCAGAAATCTGCAATAAGTTATTGCAGCAGGGTATAGAAAATAGTATGGCTGAAGTAAGACAACATGAATCTTGATCCCCCATCAGGACACGGTAGATGGGAAATTGTTAATGGCTGACCTTGTTTGGGAACAACTTTTTAAATGAGCGCTAGCATTTTGGATACTTTTTTTAATGTTGCAGATAACTTTGAAAATGCTAAAGCTAAGGGCAATGAGCACTGTTGTTAGATAGCCTTTTCAAAATGCTAGAGTTGTTGCCAAATGGGCCCGATGAAGAAAAAACATGGGAACCGACAGACCTTCTTTCGCTCTTGACGTATATTTTTCCTTTTACTTTGCTTCATGTCCATCAAAAATTCATCAAAGCTGAAAACAATAGTTAAACTTTAAGAACAATAATGCAGACAGAAATCACTAGACAATGCAATTGAGAAATGTACTCTTTGGCCCATTTTAGCATTCATATCAATTCTACATTCTTCACTTAATTTTTTTAGAGATAATTTTTCTACTGTGTTTAATACTCCCACAAACCCAAAAAAATCGCAATTGATTGGGCACGATTATTATATAAAGTGAAATTGGGTGGTTGAGTTATTTGCAGAGAACAAAAATATCAATCAAACAATTATAAAAAAGTGAAATGGGCCGGCATGTAATTTAGGAAAAGTATCTAAAATGAAAAGTGAACTCCCTAAAAACTATACTCTCTCCATAAAAAAAAAATATGTGCACGGTTTGACCAGACATAATTTTTAATACAGTGAAAACCGGGTGATTGAGACTGTTGCAGAGAAAATAGAGAAGCTAGGAATCACGTAAAATTTCCAAATATAGAAAGAGGCACATCTTTGGAACGGACCAAGAAGGAAAACACACGCACATACCTTTTTTGGGACATAGATAGTACAACACAACGAAAAGGAACTACTCTAGTCTCTGGATATTCAAATTTGCAAGTAAGAGGGTAGTTTTGCAGTAAAATATTCCCCAAGTGAAGATGGGACTGACAAAGAGGTATTTTTTTAATTAGACTCCCCCCTCCCCAAATAAAAAAATTAAAAAAAATGAACTCCATAATGTCATCCAGGACCAGCATGGAAAATAGCTTGGGAGGAGGTAATTCATTGTCATTGCCAGGAGTCAAACCTGGGCACCCCCTATTGACCAACTAAGCTAGCAAATTTGTTTCTTCCCCAACCTAGGGAAAGGGAGTGAACTTCTTCCCAACTCCCTACCCTTCACCTCACATAAATCAAACACTGTGTAAGGGTATATTTACAACTAAATATAAATTTTGAAAGACCAATTATTAAATCCATCTCAGCCAGTTAAGCAAGAAAGGAAATGGACTCACTTTTTGTAGTTACGGTTTCTCCAATGATACTGCATTCCAATCCTCTGCAGAAACCCCTTTTCCCCCAAATTCTCCCACTCATTTGTAGAGTTAAAAGTAATATGAAGAGATGACACCTTAAGCTGACATGGTCAATTTAAATAAATTCCAAAAATACACAAAAACATGAAATCTATTTTAGAAACACAAAAATATGAAGTCTATTAGCCCTAAAGGTGACGGTGGTGGGGGGCAAGATTTAAGCAGACCTTATCTCTACCCCCAAGGGATAATCTATGCTTAAAACAAAATGCCTGTAAAAAGCAATCAATATGAAGAAAAATGTATACCCGAACTGCCAAATCCTTCATTGCAGAAACTAGCACATTAAAAACTTCCTCCCGGTATGATGTGTTACGAACTAAAATCCTTGGACCAGTAACAGGAGTGAAGGGTATAGAGCATTGCAGTTTTGGATAATAGTTCAAACCATAACTGTAGTAAGCGTTTGCCCAAGAATGGTCAAACACATACTCACCATATGAATGGCTGCAGATTAGGATCAGAGCATTAGCAAACCGGCATTGATCAAAGATCAGCATGGGCTTCCATGAACTGGCAAAACAGAACAAACTACCTTTTAAGATAGAGAGGAATAACTCCTAAAAGATATCTTGATTCGTCCCAGGCAATAATGTGGTGTGGTATCCATCCCGTCTCCTACAAATGGATTTAAGATAAATTACAGAACAAAGGTTACAAAAATCTTTGACATATTTGGATGATTTCTTTGAGTACAATGACCTGACTTTTACTTTCACACCATATCTAACAGATCATTAGTGAAAAAGGATACATTCCTTATGGAATCCTTGGAGAGTGCTTTGGAGAAGAGCAAGGAGAAAAATGACCGAGACATAATGTGCAAGTTATATAATGGGGTGTGGAAGAATAACCATACACTTGTTGTCCATGATGAAGCTCTGTTCAAGAGGATATAACTCGAGTTAATATTGGCTTGAGTCCCTTGACTATTATTAGACTTGGTTTTGTCCTCGACTATGATATCTTGACTCATTAAGTCATCACACACACTCCATATTTGACCTTATATAAGATACGTATTTTCCCATTCACTAGAGTTAGACCCAAATTCAGACTCAATTTAGTCCTCAACTATGTCATTTGGGCATATTTCAAGTGTACAACAAATGTCCTTTTTAAATGAGATATGCATGACTGCATGAGGACTCATTGAGACTAAACTACAAACTCAAGAACCATAATCAAAAATACTGTCTTAGACTAAATTGAGTATTAGCATCACAATGATAGCACTCGTGTGGAAGGTCATTTCACTTCAGATTCCATGTTTCAAATTTAATGTTACAACAAATGAATATAAGACAACTTCTTAGCTCTTTCTTTTCAAACACTTCTACATCGGCGCACATGCGTATATTTGATAACAACAACCCAATAAGGTCCTACAACACCACAAGTGGGACCTGGGAGGATACTCTACCACAGCATGTAAAGGCTAGATATTTTTTTTTGAAAGACTACCAGCTCAAGAAGTATATATATGTGATAACACATGTAACGATGTAAATATAACATCCAAAAAATTGTACATATATGTCATTGGAATAATGGATGAGAACCTTTACTGCACTCCTAGATTCCTCTAAGCTTGATAGAAAAGCATGGGTAAGAAAGGGATTAAATTGCTGAGGGCCAGTTGCATCAAGACTGCATGCATCCCATTGTTCTGCTGAAACCTCTGAGATAGAGGAAGCCACAGAAATGGATATCTTCTTTTCGGAACTGTCCGAGTCTCCCTAACATTAATTTCAACACATTACCATTTGAAAGGACGATAGAAAACAAACATCTAGTCTTGGGGATTAATATATGAAATAACCTTTGATCCTCTCCCCTTCAAAGATAATTCCCCCAATGTAAGTTCATTCCTCACCGCAGGCTGTGTGGTTTTCCTTGGACCCCAAAAAAGTGCTTTGACATTGAATTTACAACTCGAAATGCTGAAAAATCGCCCAGGACAGGATTTCCGCTACATTATGAAAATTAAAACAATGGAGCTAAAAGAGTCACCATTAACATTTTTTTTTATTTTCGGACACATAATGGACCAAATCAAAACAGCACATTAAAACCATTGCTTCTTATTTTCTCTGAAGTTTGGACAGTAAATGCACAAATGCATGTTTGGTCACCGCAACAGTGTTCTGTTTTCACAAGGTAAGATTGAGTACATATTGACACCCCTCGGACCCCAACGGAGTTGGGATTATACGGGGGACCGTGCTACAGTCACACCAAGCTTCACACCATATGTTTCAAAGACATGCATAGAGACAATCATTGTCTGTGAATGTCATTAAAACACATGGGGTGAAACTTGGGTGTTAAACTAGATTTACCCCTTCCTCAAATTAAAGTTTTTCCAATACTAAACGGTGTATTTGCAGTGAACTAATCCAAATGCTTCATAAATTACATATCAAAAAGCAATTAGAGGAGGGAACATCAACCAATCTACAGAACAGTGATTAATTCCCTGGATGCTAAATTACTTCGTAGAATATGAGTCGGAAGATATTATCTTATTCAAGGAAAAAATTGCTAAATAGGAAACCGATTACTGTCAATAATAACGTCGAAACAATGATGAGTGATTTATGAGTATATTCAGAAGTGAAACAGAAATCATTAAAGGAGTATGCGAGTGTGGCTTGTGTGGAGTGTGAACAGGTAGATCATGGAGAGAACATTAACCGCGTGAGGTGGCTTGTCACCGAGAAACAGAAAAATCGCCGGCGCCGCCGCGGCCGCTGCCATGAAAGATTGAAGGCCGTCCCGGGCTAGGGAAGACGGACACTTCCGTATATTATTTGACACAAATACTGAAATACTCACTTAATTTCAAAAAAAATAATGTAGTAATTATATTACTATAATATTTCAATTAAAAATTATCCTAAATAGAACTGAAACATAAAGAAAAATATCAAAATAAAATTTTCATATTTTTTTCTCGAAATAGAACTTTACACTGTAGTAATATAGTTGTAATGTGGCACTATATATGTACACATTATTATACTTTTTGATAATATACATGACCATCAAACCATGTTTGGTAATTTAAATGCATTAAGTCTTATTTTAAAAATAAATACATGGATGTCATATTTAGTATATTTTCAATGTTTTAGTCTTCTATGGTCTTTATCCCTATTTCAATATTTTTATTTATTTATGTAATTTCATTGATTATATGATAAGATAAAATATTCTTTCACATCATATTTTACATAAGACTTGATTTAATTTTAAAATATATAATTTATACGAAATACTTTTTATTCTTGTACTCTTTGTGTGGTAGTCATTTCATTGAATTTGGGGGGTTCTATGACTTTAAAAAATAAGTTTTTTGAAAAATTTATCTACAAGCAGCGTTTGACATTTGTATTTTAAAGCAATATGTATCGTTAAAATGTTATCCAAAATGTTAGCGCTAATCTGTAACATTTTCCCAAACAGTCACAACATCTTAAATTTTTTAGCTGATATGGTGTTCGACGACGCAATGCCCCATCAAATCACCCACTACACCTCGTCTAAATAACTTAATTTTAAATTATATTTTACAACGTAAGTCACAATATCATTTTCTTTTTGGGATGTTGGAAATAATTTTTATTTAATTATTTTGTACTAATTAAAATGTATATATTTAACAGACTATTGAATCTTATGCGTTTTAATATATAAAAAATGTATAGACATATACTTAGTACATACTTACATTATTCTAATGAAAACTAACACGAAGTCATTTTTTAAAAAAATCATATTTGTTAGTGGGCGTTGCGTAGTAAGCATGATAATATAATGAATGCAAAGAGGTTATGCCTGAATTTAATTTCTGACAACTACATTGAAAGACAATTATACTAATTAAGTACTTTTATTCAACCCTACTTTTATTTTCCTATTTATTGAAAGTGTTTCAAGAAATTATATTAATATAAATACTTTTGTCAATAACATAATAAGTTAAAATGAATTTTACAATTTCGTTAATTTGTAAGATTTCAAAAATATTATAAAATTCTATTGTAAAGTATTTTTTTTTATCAAGAATAAGTCACAATTTAAAGTATCTAAAACTCTTAATCAAAATATTATTTACATTTCATTTTTTTGAAATAATTCTAGCTTTTAGGTTCTTATTAAATGACGGCAATTATAAAAATTAATGAAAATGAATAAAAACAATGCATAGTGCATTTACAAGATTGAATTAAACTAGGAAGAGAAAATGAAAATACAAAGTTGTATTTATAATAACATATCATTGGTAATAAGAATGAAATAGAACTAAAATAATATTAAATCTTTCTTTCTGGTCTCGCCAAAAAGTTACGGAGTACTTGTTTTTAGAATGAATGGACTGAAATTATACTCATCCTCAATCTTTAGACCAAAATCGGTCTATTCGTTTTTTTTTTGTCCAATCCAGTTGCGGTTTGATTTTCTGATCCAACTTGGATTTTGTCTTCTGACTATAGCGGGTAAAAGTCCTCTAAATGTAGTAAAAGTGTTCGTAATTTCACTTTTACAATTAAAAAAAAAAGTTAAAAAGTTATGAGTAAAACTTTAGTGTGAGGATCTGTAGGTTTTTTTAACCTTTAAATATTCAAAGTAGATTGTTATGATTAATATATCAAAATTGAAAGAAAATGTGCAACAAATTGTGGCGCTAACCTTTTTAAAATAATAAAATTAAGTCTTTTAAAAATTACTTCATATATTACTAGAATTAGGGACATAACTTAATTATGCATACCTCGTTAAACTCCACTAAGCAATATCTTTTTGTGGACAAAAGGAGTAAAAAAGTGATTAATTACTCATTACTATATTATTATTTTTTGAATAATAATAAAACTAGTACAAAAAAATATTGATCTCTTCATAGTTTTTCAATCTATTAAAATTTATAGAGTTAATGTTTTCCTCACACTATTAATTTTTTTCTTGGGAGGCAGTATAACTTTTAAGTGTAGAATTTGTGATTGGCAACAAAAAATAAAAAAGAGACAACTTTATTGAATGCCAAAGCTCCATCAAGAACAAGGACAATATAGTCAAACCACAACAAAGCACCATCCAACGAGTGATAGGCATTACAAATCATCCTTCACTCTAATGCATGGTAGTAGTAATAAAAAGATTAAAAAACTTAGCATCAAAGTAAAATAAAAATAACCGATTAACCCAACCTTAAGACATGAAAAGTCCAAAATGCCCCCAACCCAACACCCCACCCATCCATCATCCCATTTCACTCTTCAGCCTTCTCCGCCGGAACTTCACTCCCGGCGGCGGGGGCTTCCTCCTCAACCTCTTCCACGGCGGCAGGGGCGGCTTCCTCGGCTGCCGGAGGAGACGGAGCTTCTTCTTCTACTTCTTCACTGTTGGCTTCAACCACCGCCGGAGTTTCCTCCGCCGGCGCGGCTGCTTCCTTGACTTCCTCGACGGCCGCCTGCTCCTCTGTTTTCTCCTCTGCTTCCACCACTTCCTTGGTCTCAACCGCTACTTCCTCTGCCACCGGCTCGGCTTCCACTTCCGCTTTGGGCAGTGGTGTTTCTTCCGCTGGCTTTTCCGCCACGGGCTCCGGCTCGGCGGCGGCTGGTGGAGCCGCTTCCACCGCTGCCGTGGGTTCCAAGACGGCGGGGCTCACCTCAAGCTCTGTTTTAACATTCTCTGTGATTGGTGCTGGAACTGATTCAACCTGCAATCAATAATAACTCAACGAAAAATTGTTTTGGTATGAAGACTAATGAGACTAATTAAAAGATAATCCAATAAAAAGATATAAATATTTTAATAATTATAGTAAAAAAATTGAAGTAAGGTAGAAGAAGTTTAGTCCTTGTTTGGGATGAGCTTTTTTGATTAGGATCAGTTTTTTGGATAAAAATTTAATAGTGTATATTAATTCTAAAAACGCTAACGCTAAAATAAAACTACCGTTGAATAGTCTTTTCCAAGCATTAATACTAAAGTTAATTGGTGCCAAATGGGATCTTAGTCTATATATCTATGCACATTTATATTTTATTTATTCATAGATTTTTTTGTGTTACTTGTATATATAAGCTATGTTATTGGGGTGCATGATCATACTTTCTCTTGTAAACTTTAAGACAAGAAAAAAAAAGTTATGAAAAAAAAACAAATGATCATAAAGAAAACTAATGAATTTAATGAGGAAATTAAAAGAAGAAGAAAAATAAGGTGAAGCTAAGATCACCTCAACAGAAGCCATTTTTTTAAGTGAAAAGGGGAAAGGAAAAATAATGAAAGAAGAGAGTGAGTGATGAGGTGGCTAAGTTTATGTGAGATTGTGAATTGGTTGATGATGGGATGAGAAGAAATGGGCTATATGAGAGAGCTTTATATAGGGCTCTAAAACCCACTTTATTTCATTTTAAATGTTTTTTTAATATAGAATAATTTAAGAATAAAAAATGAAAAAGTGGAGAATATGTGGAATTAATTAAAGAAGGGATAGATGGGATTATTAGACAACTCATATAGTCACTGGGCATAAAGGGAGTACAGATCAGATTTAAGGTGTTGTCTAGTTGTATATGTTTTCATGTTATTTAATTTTATACTTCCTCCGTCCCTAAATAAAGTTCCATTTTTGACTTTTTGAGGATTTAAGGAAGGGATATTTTGGTGTTGACTTTCCAAATATACCCTTGATGTGATGTGTTAAAGTAAGATGTGATAGGTAGATTATTAGTAAAAATGTATGATGTGATAGGTATGGTATGAAAAAGTAAGGGGTAAAAGGGGTTTTTTAAGAGAAAAGAAAAGTTTATTTAGGGACAAAGAAAAAACGAAAGAGGAACTTTATTTAGGGACGAAGGGAGTATTTTATATGCCCCTCAAAAAAATAAATATTACTGCCATTCTCTTTTCTTTTTCTTTAAAGACTGTTAAAATTTAAAAGATTGTTAGATTTTCTCTCTCATATATTCCGTATTTAATAAGTCGCTTTATCCTTTTTTTATGAAAAGAAAAATAAAAATTTTACGGAAGAATTTACGTAAATAACACTAAAATACAATGACTTTCCCTAAATAACACTGCATGTGTTTTTTTCCGCACTTTTAGTCATAATCTATTAGTCATTATTCAAGTAAATGTTCGTCATCACTGGTCATTATGAAATTATTAAGTGCTATCTAGGAAATAAAATAATTTAAGTGTTATTTAGAAAAATGACTTAAGTTTTAGTGCTAATTAGTACAAATATATCAAACTTTACATTTCCTTTTCAGACGAAAATATTACTCCCTCCGTCCCAAAAAGAATGGGACGGTTTGACTTTTTGGGAAATTAAGGGAGGGATACTTTGGTATTAACTTTCCAAAAATACCCTTGATGTGATGGCTAAAAGTAGGATGTGATGGGTATATTATTAGAAAAAAGGTATGATGTGATAGGTAGGGTATGAAAAAGTAAGGGGTAAAAATGGTCTTTAATAGAAATGTAACGAACTTTATGGGACGCAGTTTTTTCTAAACGTAACAAACTTTTTGGGACGGAGGGAATATTATACTTCATTATGCTGCATGTAGGTGCACATGGAACATATATTATCTTTTTTCTTTCTTAAAACTTTCTTTAGGTTCCACTCCACATGTTCATAGAAAAAATAAAATTGTATAATTGAATTTAATTTTAGAAATAATAAAAAGAATTTCAACTACATAAATTATTGTAAACCGTATTTTAAAATGAATTGATACTTTGAAAAAAAAGCAACCAAAAACTAAGGGAGAGTGGAAAGAAAAGTTTAAAACAGATGATTTTTTAAAGAAAAAAATACATAGAGATAAATATTGACATATCTAGCATGGATCCCTAAAAAGTGAGTGTTAGTGAGTATTCTTTGGTGCACGTTGGGTGCATATTATTTTTGTACACTTTTCCACATAAAAAATTTTTTTATTAAAAAAATAGATGATTATTTAAATAATAAGAAAATGATGATTATTTAAATAATAAGAAAATGATAATTATTTTGCTCATATATAGGTCTACGATGGAACTTAGGTCCACCATAGAGAATTTGATCGATTTTATAATATTATCCTCAAATGCTAAAAACGTAAACAAAGAAAAAATCACACCAATGCTATCAGATTTGGTCGATTTTATAATATTATCCTCAAATTTTCTTTTGCACACAAATACTCCGAGAAAAATACAGATTTTGTGTAAAAATAACAAATAATGCTTTATAGCTTGAATGAATAGAAGAGGAATACAAAGTATGTATTTATAGGTGGAGGAATATATTCTAGAATCCTCCACATTAATGACTAATTATATAAGGTAATATTATATAATAATAACTCTAACTATAATAGGTAACAACCATAATTATAATATATAATATTAAATATATTAAATAATTGATATATTTAACATGCTCCCAACGTCCTGAACGGTGAAAATTGAACGCCAACTTTACTTGAATCGTGACCATAATTGTAATCAAAAGCTAGAGGCATATTTTCGGCTAGAGTAGACTGAATGCATCCGGCCTAGAAGAGAAGAAGAAGAAAGATTGTCAGGAAAGAGATGTGAAGGTGTTGATGAGGAGAGGAGAAAAGCCGCTGCGAACAGACTCATGCTGCTGACGTCGAAAGAGAGAGAAGGTTGGCGCGCGCTAGAGTTGTGCGCGACTGGGTTAGAGAAGAAACACAAGGAATGAGGTACTGCCAGAGATGCATGTTGACCGAAGATCTACCCACTAAGCAGGTTGAGGTGATGATCTTGGCGCCAGTAGTTTGGTGGAGTAGGTGTCGCCGGTCAGAGCTGCGGCGCTTAGGAGAAGAGGATGGCGTTAGAGATGCCGGTGATTATAACAGAGTTTTTTTGTATAACAAAAAAACTAAAAAACTTTGTTGTTTTAGGAGATGGTGAAGAATTTGGGTCAGAGGAAAACAGTGATCCGGCGGGCGGCAGTTAATGGCGGTGCCGCCCGCCAGAAGCGAAAGCGGAGAAATTTAGGTTACCAAAAACGGTGGCTCTGATACCATGTAAAAATAACAAATAATGCTTTATAGCTTGAATGAATAGAAGAGGAATACAAAGTATGTATTAATAGGTGGAGGAATATATTCTAGAATCCTCCACATTAATGACTAATTATATAAGGTAATATTATATAATAATAACTCTAACTATAATAGGTAACAACCATAATTATAATATATAATATTAAATATATTAAATAATTGATATATTTAACACTTTGAATCGCTACTCTAGCCCAACTGCTCGACAAAGTCAGTTTCAAGCTTAATTGATTTCGTTGAATTATTTTCACGGATATGACATCTGAAATGATTAGTTGATAGCATGTCTAAAGTAATTATATTAGATAGAATTTAGGGGCTGTTTGTTTCAGTCTCTTAATGGTTCAAATGTTTGAATAGTTCAGCACTTAATGGTTCAGACTGTTTGTTTCAGCCTCTTAATGGTTCAGATGTCTGAATAGTTAAGAGATTTGCCTCTGAATGGTTAAGTATTATACAGAGTCTGAATGGTTAAGACCTCTTATCTGAATTGATCAGACATTTGTCTCTGAATAGTTAAGCAATATACTATTTCTTAATGGTTCAGACCTCTTACTAGTTCAGCACTTAATGGTTCAGACCTCTTATTGGTTCAGCACTTACCTATTCAGAAATTGTCAAACAGTCCCTTAGACTTTTTTTAATAACTTAATAAAATCCAAATTAGGTCCAATTTAATCCTATTACTTTATAAGTTATTTGAAAAAATTCGATGATGACGGATTTAATTTCATTACTTTAGACTGTTGCCAACTAATTATAATTTATGGTTTCATGTCAACTAAAAATAATTTCACATAATTTTACTTGAAGCCGAATCAATCGAACTTGTGTACCGATGTAAAATTTGATATTTTTTTAGAATATTGACTTGTAAAAATAATATGCAGCCATAGTGCACTGTAGGAACACTCTTTTAAAAATCTATCTAACGATAATTTTAGCATTTTTGAAAAATTATTGCTAATTGATAATATTACTCCCATACAAAGCCTTAATGGCTTAGCTTTTAAAAAATTAATATGTGTGTGTGTGAGTGTGTGTGTGTGTTCAGTTTTAGATTTTTTGTACGATAAATTATCATGTACCACTCGCAGAAAATGTACTTTTCGTTCAGTAAGGTTTTTGTGGTTTTTTGTTTGGTTGGGTTTTCATGATTTTTTTTTTTAAATAATTAGGATCAATCCAATTTTATACCGATGAGTCACATTTTCATGACTACGTATATAAGCATGATAGGTAACTGGTTGTATGTACAAACGCCAATGTCTATACTCTATAGGGAAAAAATGGCAATGTCACATGGTGGTGTCCATTTTAATTACTATATACCAATATATATAATGAAATATTTGCACTAAATAGCATTAAAACTTAAGTCATTTCTCTAAATAGTACTTAAACTGTTTTATTTCTTAAATAGCACTTAATAATGTTCAGTGATGACGAACATTTATCTGAATAATGACTAACGGATAATGACTAAAAGTACTACATTGGAAAAAAATACATGTGATACTATTTAGAGAAAGTCATTATATTTTAGTCATATTTACGTAAATTCCTCTATCTATATATAATTTGCAACCATCTAGTGTTTTGTGCAGTGAGGGCTTGGAAATCTAGTGGTTTTTATAAGTTATTTTATTTTACTGTGAAAGTTTTAGTTGTGGAGTTGGTATGTTTGTGTGTCAATCCTTTATAATTTGATCAAGATTTTGTTCATTAATATTATTTTGTAAGAATTTGAAAGTAATTATTATATTACACCATCCACATATGCATGATTCATCCACAAGAAATAATGCATGAATTTGTACATGGAAGTGAAAGTTTAGAACCTTTAATTTAGCATTCATTTGGTTGGACTAGAGTGGAATAGATTGGTGGGAGTGGATGCTATCTTTTTTAAACTCTGGAAATATTTTGGTCCCTCAACTATGTTTATTGCTCTAATAATCTTAAATTAGATATAGTTTCTTCAATTTGAAAAGTATATGTTATTATCTAATGACAATGTATAATTTTAGATCAAACTGCTTAAATTTAATTTTGATCATTGAAATAGACTTAAGACGATAATTTTGATTGAAAACGATGTTTCCAAATAAAGATTGATGAGTAAATTTAGATTTAAGGTAAATTAGTTTTTTAAGCAGCCCATCTAATTAACGTTACAATTACTATTATGATATTTTGATTAGTTTTGTTTGTTTAAATATTTCCATTTATCATTTAATAAAATAAAATATTCTTATCACTGATTG